CCAAGAAACCGCAGCACATTGCTGGGGACACGAAATCACCGTCCTAGTGACGGTGCTACGTACAACGTGTGGTTCCTTCCAGTGTTGGATGAAATCACGAACCGTACAGCAAAAGCTGGAGGTGCTTTTGTTAGCCTTCGCTACCTATGGCACCGGCGCGACATCACTCTCGTTCTGAAGGGTAGAGGGTACAATGCAGCGGTACGTTCGACCCTACTGTACGGTTGCGAAACCTGACCCCTTAGATCAGCGGACGTAAAGAGGCTAGTTATGTTCCACCACTGGTGTTTTCGCAATTTGGCTCACATCTAGGGGGAACACTGCGTGAGCAACGAGCGTGTTCGACACCTTGTTTACGGCACAGGAAAAGCAATTGAACCGCTTAGCACCGTTATTCCATGCACCAGGTTCCGATGGCCGGCCACCTGTTACGCATGCCAGCACACTGACCCCGCGACGTGCGTTGTTTGCGCGCCGGGGGTGTGGATGGAAGAAGAAGATAGGTGGCCAAGCGATGACTTGGTCGACAGGAATGAAGGCCCTCACTTCGGAGTTGGCCTCGGTTGGCGCATCATGTCTCACTGGTTGGGATCCGAAAGACGGTGAACGCGTCTGGCTAGATACACTTGCTGACATGGCTAGGAGTCGACCTCAGTGGCGTTCGTGCTATGACTTTCTTTGTTCCGCCCCATCCCTCTTATCCTCCCCCTCCAACCAACCTCTCATTTCGTAGCATAATATAATTTTACATCATAATTTTTCTGGTTGCTTTTTAGCCGGCTGGTAGGTTTCCGGAACGATGCCCATCCGTTGCTGGTAGCTCAGCTGGCATGCAACTGTTGTAATGATCTACTTTTTTATGTACTGCGGCACGGTAGCTGAGGTGTTTTACACAACTAGCTAACCTGTATAATGATGAGGATGCTGTTGGACGGACTGTGGCCCAGCCACGGCCTTGTGTACTTTTGGTACGCATGATTCTCAAATGAGCTAGACCGGAATGTTACTGCTGTGCATGTTGTAGGAATGTGTTACGGCTCCGTTGATGAAACTTGGCCCTAATCTACATGCCTCCCTGGTCTTATTCCTTCGGGTGTCGCTGGATATGGGGTGCATGAATTGGAGCTGTGGCTTGTGCAGCACAAGCTGCCCGTGGTCCCTCTGTACGCGCAGACGTCCTATGGTTGTCCCCGTGGAGGGCACAGTGACAAGCAAATCGGGAACTGGATGCCGCCAACCATGTAACTTGGTAAACACATACATTGACAGAAGTGATAAACACTGAACTCCTGTTGAAGGAACGTGTGTCGCAGTAAGCTAACGAGAAACTGCACAGCACGCAAAGTTTGCCTAAGCGCCACATCTACGTATGATACCAGTCTTTTCAATTGGGGCCCTTATGTAACTCAGGTGACCGGGCTGAGATCAACACAACGTTCAAAATCCTGATACTGCAGGCTTATTGCCTTTCTTGGTTTACCGACGCTGTTACAGTAAGCCCGACTAGTGTACGAGAGTAAATATATTGTGATTATTAGGTCACCTTAGATACAAGCGTAAACACAGTGTTTTATCCACTTTTCACCTTGCATACCACTTTCTTCATATACAAATGAGTTTTTAGGTTTGGCTTCACCTCGGGAACGAAGACGAGTTATTGTCCACGCGTTTGAGTAAACCTACAAAATATATACGCTGGCTAAGATCTCTTTGGTTGTTGTGCTTCCAGGCTTCTGAATTGCAGTAAGTGTTTTAATCATACTGGGACATTTGGCACTTAGATTGTCACTACCGAATATCTGACTAACTTACGAAATTCCTGCTTTGAACCGTAAGTGCACGCACATATTCGGCGGCACAAGTGAATCTCTCGGACAACTGTAGCACATGCTGCAGTTTCTCTTCCTGTGGTCAGTGTCTTTCCACTGGTTTTTGTGTATCCTGTCGAGAAACGCTGTTTCCGGTATAGTCATGCCTAATTGCTAAGTCTCGTCAGTATATTTTCTAGCTTCAGCTGGTCAGTCCCCCATAAGTCATTAAGTGAGATTTCGCGTTTACTTAACGAAAAGCACCCGTACGATAATTACAGATGAATGCTGGCTGTACATTTAATGAGATTCTCACTACTTAAAAAAACAATATCAGTGGGTACTGCTTTTCTCGGAAAACGTAATGCTGGGGAAGTTAGAATAAAAACGGCCTGAGAATCAATTCATAAATATGTAAATATTCCTGGTTTGCTGGCTTGCAGAACAACCTCCTCGTGGTGCCAGCTGGGTGATTCGGGATTTTCTCTTTCCAACAAATGGTTCGGCGGCAGTGTTCCAGGACGTGGTGGGTTTTCGCCTGGCAAGCGTTCTCCTTATTAAAAGCCACATATGTCCATTTAACAATACTGTGACGTGTCGGACGTGACTCGCCACTAAATAAAGTCACTGTCCCTTGCTTCATCCTGGTTAAGCATTGTATTCCAGCAAATTTATGCCGTAATTCTGGGAAGCACTGGGCCCCTGTTTGACAAAGGAACAAACGAAAGGCGTATGAACTGAGCAATCAGTCACCGGCTCCCAATGGGTGCGATTCGCTGAATTCGCTCCGCTGCGTTGCGAGCAGGCTATTCAGCCAAAGGCTCGGAGTGGTGTCCCCTAAGTCAACACCCTACTTTGGATTGGACAACCGGGTAGTATCTCGCTCTCTGACGAAAACATGGATTTTGATGGTTGTGTTATGTTTTCTTTTGCTACTTCTTTACCTTCTTTTGAATCCCATGCTTTCTGATGGATTTATGTCTATTCGTAGACTGTTGCTTATATATATATATATATATATATATATATATATATGCCTGTCCTGTGCATTAGGTATGTGTAACACAAACTGTCAATTAATGAAAGTCAAATGAGCTGCTGTATTGACAGTTGGTCGAAATAAAATGTGCGCATTTGTTAGTAACCCGGCACCGAAGTCGACACGTGTAGTAGTTCTGCTGTTGTTATGACTGATTCAGTAGTTCTTCACTTGGAATATGTGTCTGAAGTGCCAGTCAATCACGCTACTTTGCCAGTGTGTCTGTCGGAATTACCGTTTGGTCCATGTCGGGTGCATTTATGTTACACAGCTCCCCTAGTTGAGTTATGATAGGCCAGTGCTTTACGCATGCTACTGCGGTAGGTGTTTTGTCTTCAAATTCGTCTAGTGCTTGTTAACAAAAAGTTGTCTGGGCAAAATTGAATGATAGCAAAGGCATTTGTTCCATGTAGTCACGCTTCGGTACTACGCTCTCAATTAGCTACCCGGGAGTAGGACCTCTAGTGATATTCCAATGATTGATGTTATAGCGGGCATTAATATATTATTACAAGTAATCAATCTGATCTATTGAAGGTAATGGGGAAAGTACCGTGACCTAAACGCTTGCCGAAAATATCGGTTAGAAGTTGTGGTGCGTAACATAGACGCCACGGTTTTCATTCCCCGGATCAAACTGCTGCAGAACATCACATCCTAGGCGGACTTATTTCGGTCTAGCATAGCAAGAATACAATGTTTTGCTGAATGCATTTCAGTTCTGGCTCCTATTCTTCCCCGCAAGTAGCTACGTCATACATCACTGTTCCCAAAAACATAGCTTTTGTCTGTGTTTCGAAAATGATATTGCGGTATGAGATCAGTCAAGATCCGGGCTCTATATATGCAGTTTCTGCTGTCAACTGTCCAACGGAGTCCAAGAAAGCAATTTTGATAAATCAGGTTGCTGCTTCCTGATTCTATAGAAGCTTCATATGGTAGAATTCGGATTTCGGTTCGCACCAGTTATCTCAAGCTCTTCACCATACAGCCAACCAGTGCCTCCTTGTGACTTCTAGCTTGGTTTTACTCGGCGGATGGACCATGACGCCGTAAGGAACCCCACTAGATAATTTTATGCTTCTCGTGGAGAAACCACAACTAGTGTTCACACGGTAATATTTCTAAACAAAACAGCTTCGTTCCCAAGACCTAAGCGCAGATTCATAGATCTCAAAGGAAAACACACTGTGTTATTGACACTCCGCGAAGAGCAGCGATTAGCCACAACTACATGAGGCGATTTGGGGAAGCGCTAGTAACGTGTATTCCGGCAGAATCGGAAGTACTATCTCAGTTTTGGTATACGTAGAATTTCGTCACATCTAGACTCACTCAGACAGCCGCCACACGCCCGGCAAAGCACTGTACGCGCGTTTCATCCTTTCGGGAATCATCAGAAGTGCGTATTCCATCGGACCACTGGAAGGGCTCGAACCCGCAACTCGACTCTTGCCAGTTCATGGTTGAGACCGCTGAGCTACGGGGGACGGCAACGACCATCGTGAATAAGTTACTAGATGTGATATAGCGCCGCTGACTATCCACTGACTTATCTGTTATATCTAGATTGGATGGATGTCAGCATGTGACTGAGTCCCTTGCAATTGCTGTGTGATTGCTATGAAGCTCACAAACGCCAATTGTAAGCACTCTCCTCAACGGAACAAAGGATACTGCGCAAGAGAACCCTAGCTTGAGGGAGGAAATCCAGTCACTCCGGTTGGGTTGATGGAAAAAATAGATCAAAGGTTTGGTTGATTAGCGTGTGATGTATGCTCACACGAAGGAGACTAACGGAGCAATTGCAGCCAACCGGTGTATGTGACGTTACCAAAGCACTACGAGACACTTATGTGAATGGTAGGCTTCATACTCTGAAAATGAGAAATGCACCTCTTTTTTATTGAGTATTATGCTTCCGTGATTTGGTAGATGTTATCAGAGAGGCGAAAGATGCTAACTGCTCTTCGTGTACACACGGTATTATTGTCTCAAGGAAAACAAACCTGTATTAGAGAACCGAACGTTTCAACTCGGTGAACCTAGCTCCCTACAAAGAGCAGATAAACGGTGGTAAAGTGGGAACTTTCTACCAGTAGCTGCATGTTGATCTAACGTGTTGTACTATAGACAGCTGTGATGCAACTTACCGGTCCGAACTCAGGTTCCGCACTGCGATTCTGTGCACCATTCAGGGAAGGAATTTCATCCGTCTGAGTAGCGACATCGGTTTTTACTGTTCTAAGTTGCTGTCGCGGTAAACGAAGGATACTAAAATGGTGAAATTTATTAACACTTTGTAAGAATGGAGTATCGTATGCTCAATGCGATGGAACGACGGCATTATGCAAAATAAATGGTGGTAGTTCATTTGTACTTTTTGACTGTAGTGCACCTCACAAGACAACGTTTAGTTAAAACGCAGGTATCCTAGCGAGACACTGCACTCTAAGTGCTGAGAGTTCCTTTCATGCTCCACATCTAACTACACTCGTAGTGTCCGTACTGCAACTCAAATTCAGTCCTTAAGAGCTGTCGGTTCGCCCTGATATCCCCTCCCGTTAACACTCCGAATGACATGCGGCGGTTAATCTAGATAACATTCCCATTTTGCTGGGAATCACCATCAGCTGTTTTCATGGCAAGATTACGCAGAACTGTGCACAAACATCAGGAGAGATAAGAGAAGCGCCGTTGTCCCTATAGCTACCTCCTCAACTACTGAATGCAACTAGGTTCCATGAGATTTAAATTTTAGGTCGCGATCAGACGTAACGCACTGCAGAAGTGAGCGCAGGTATGACAGTAAGAACCATCCTGCTACTCCTCTTCTGATAGCAGGAAAAGTTGCGGAACGTTCAAAGGATGATCCTGTTTTGTCACACACGTGTTTCATGCTACACACTCAGTGCCCAGCTGGACGAAGTGACACAAAGGAGTTAACGTTTGTTAGCTGAAAATGAGACCAACAACCAAACCATTGAGATGGAATGTCACAAGTGGATTTGCGTGCGACTCACTGTTTATGTTAATTCCGGGATTTATCACCACCAATAACTTTGGGTAACAGGTTGAGCAACAAGTGAATTGCCACCTATCTCTGTAAGACGTGTCTCACTCTGAATAACCCACTATCCACCACTCGAACATACTAGCTTATAGCAAACTACGCATGATCGGATTTCTAACAGGTTATCGGTCATCTCTCCTGTGTCCAGACACTAACGAAATGACTGGGTACTGGATTAGAAAGCCGGGGTTGTGAAGCAGTGGCGAGTGTAATTAGTTGATTTATTACCCCAAGTTCGTAGCATTAAAACGAGCAGATTTGAACCATTCGCAATACATAAGTTTGATAAAACCGAATATGATTATCAACTAAATAGTTTATCCCACTGAAATGAATTGTGCCATCCTGTGGTCTTTACTACACTTCATTCCAGTCAAGCGCTCTACTCGTCAGTGGATAGGAGTTCAAGTAATGGTAGCCTCATTCAGTGTCACAATAGCTATTACTGCTCCTCCACCTTAGGTCGAGGTTCGCCCTTTTCCAGGAAGTCGATGTTTACACAGACATAGAACGTACTGAAGAGATATACTCGGTCATCTCGTATGCGTATAAGGAGGCTGTTTAGGTAAAATTAATCAGGATGTTGTGCAGTCACGTACTCTGTAGTTACAGTTTTACGCCACCATAAGCTTGCCTCAATGAAAAAAGCCAGCCATTCTCCGGTATTGTGGATTTTTGGCTGGCTCAGATAACCATAACAAATATCTTTCCTAGTTCATCATATTAACAGTGAAGTAATCGATAACGAACTTGTTCTTTTAGAACTAAAGTTGGTTTCATCTACTTCAAAAGTAAAAGAATTCTAGACCCCAATACGTGTTGCGTGTTATCAGCCAACAGTACCACACCCCAGGACTGGTTTTCGTACTCGTTCGCCTTCAGCAGAACAGTGACCCCAGCCCGCGAGGTATACACCATTGACTAGCATCTAACTCGACGCACAATGACTAGTTGTGCTTTCACTTGAAGCATCCATTCAGGAAATTCCGTGCGACAGATATTCCTAATTTGAGTCAGGATTTGTGTTGGAGGGAGTCTTAATCAATTCGGTTGCTGGGAGAGTAGGCGAAGCGGATACATGTTAGGCGTTACGCACAAACATCAATGTGGACTCACTTTGGTCTGGCGGTTGCACATTCTACGTTCATGGACAGGGGTCGTTGGGGAGTTCTACTTGGGACAGGCCTGCTGCGTTTGATTACATTGCTGGTGGGTGAGATCAAGGTATTTAATTCCGCCGGTGTAAGCCCCTGATTAGAAAGTGTCCTGTCGACCGGAGTTGAAGGAGTGGATATCAGGGATCGGGAAAATGGTGGCAGGTCGGTGTTGGATACCTGTGGATTGAAAATAGCCAAACAGAATTTGCGTGAAACAAAGCCGGCTTGTGAGTGATGATTCAGAGCTAGTTCTGGTTTTGTGAGCCCTTAGAACATCTGTTCTGTTAACTCAAATGACTAAGACTTGAGCCAACGAAGAAGGACGACAGTCCTACCTCGTCCTCAGACCCTAACGCAGAAAGAGATAGGGAGACGGACATTTAGTCCGCGTACAAAAATGGCAAACATGAATAAATCAAATTTTCACGTGCAGCACACGTAGGGCTTCTGGTTCAATGCCGATCAAAAGGAAAATATAGTGTATCAGTCTGATACTTCAGACACCAACTGCCTTGATATAATAAATGTTAATTTGGCTCCCAAGACCCTGTTTTTAATGTGAAATGCGTTATCGCAACAGGCGAAAGTTTCCTTATTTCCAGTTGAAAGAACACCCTATGTCTGGCTATAGTTTACCATCCTTGCCCCTCATGTTTTTGTATGCCCAGTAAATGCAAGTATACAAATTAGTTGTTTAGTTTCGCGAACAGAAAGCATAAATTTGTGTTAGTTTAACATCACAGACAAACGATTGACCTTCTACCATATTAACAATGCAATGAGCATTGTTCGCTGTACTGGAATGAATCTTTCCAGAACTCTGCTCGAGTTAACACTAACGAAACCGACATAGATATTGTCATGCTGAGCATTGCTCTCATGATTAGGAGTTCCACCGTAATCCAGCTAGTGATTTGCGACTCGAATTACCCATAACCAAGTGAGGTCTGCAGGCGTCCCAATAGAGTCACCTCCTGAGACATTGAATCATTTAGTTAAACTATCACCTATTTATCGAGCTGAAATCTTTCCTTGGCTTTTCCATCATCCGTATGCAATGTTTAGAGGGTAGGCGACAGCTTCAACTCAACAATGTAATGCCATCCTGGTTTGCTGCTTCAGCGATGTTGCTTAAATACCACAGGCACAACGGGGACAGTTGGAATGAGTGAACAGAACATCTGGGATTCGTTAGAGAACTGTCAAATCCGACTCAAATCTGGGGTAGGCTCCCCGGAAGTAAAGTGCCTGAAAGGTTAAATAATAAGTAAAGCTACTGGACAAACGAATTTGCGTACTAATCGCACATTTGTGCACTCGTGCTTCTTTCGTTGTTGCTCAGCGACACTTCGTCTCACATATTTGGATCTATACCCATTCGCCTTGCTTTTACAAGTTTTATTTCATGATACCATTTCCGCGAGTACACTTCAGCGCATCCCCACATTTACCCTGTTTTCTAAATTCCGGGCAGTGTTTCGCCGATATCCAAACGCAAAGATTTTTGTAACTGCAGCCGTCAGCTACATAGTTTGATCTCACTCGAAAGTGCATTTCAACGGTTTTAACCGAGTTTGCACTCGTTCAATTCCAACCTTGAGTGTAGCAGCCACAGAGTACTTTAACATTCCCCACAACTAACCCCCTCAGTCTCTCGGCAGGTTCACCTGGTGCGATCTATAGGCCTAACCGGGAAACTTCTCTGTCAAACCTTCATGTAACCTGCCCAAGGTTTACGCTGATGCATTCGACTGGCATGCCAGAGGGGACAGTCTGCAATCACACAACTGCGAAGTAAACGCTGTGACTTTGATGGTAATGTCAGAAAGAGGACAACTGCTTATCACCGAGCAAGAGCCGTTCTAATGGTTCTTAACATTTGCTTAACGAACGCGTGCCACAGTCTAAAAACCTATGTTGATCATGTGCCAACCTTGTTAAAGAGGGTATTCCATGCCGCAATTATTGTAAGCTTTTCCACGTGAAGTGTGTTCAAGTTACCGCTAGTCAAGCCAAGTTATTAAACAGGCCAGATTCTCAATGATTCTGTGTGGAATGTAGATCTCTCCCATTGATAAAAATCGTGCTCCTATTACCTCGGAAGTACGACCAGCTATCAGATAATTTTGAGGAACTGGTGACCACCAATATCACCACAGTTTCAGTAAGGATGGTGATCCGTGTAACTCAGGCAACCCCAGTAAGCGCTGCTCTAATCATAAGGAGAACGGTTGGTAACACCTTAAACAAAACGACACCAATAGCCCAGGAAAGAAACTGCTGTACCAATACCGTAGGTGATTCACATGCGACTAATGTGGTTAGTAGTTCGATCGGAGTAACTACACGCAAGGCTATGTCCAACCTCCCGACGGAGTGCATAACCAGAGCGAAACCTTGTACTAGCAAAGTTGGGTTAACGTTGCTTCCAAAAAGGGCTGTCAATGAAAATTAGCAGGAGCTCCAAATGATCCGGAGATTAAGGAGTATAGCGGAGTTCCCCTGGTGCAAGCACCACCGGTTTCCTGCGGAACATCCTTGAGTATTTTACTCACGAACCGCGACATTTCGAAAGGTGTAAAGTAACAACAACCTATACTGAGCGTATTGTGCTCTAATGTCCCAGAATTAAAGTCGACATCACTAAGAGGTAGGCAATTAGACGATCTCAACCATTTGGACGTCATTAGTAACCTAATTGGAGTTGTTTTGAAACTTGTACACATAATGTGAATCACTCGGCACCCCAAATCTAAGCGTCACGGAATTCGAGGCATGCTGCGCCTTGTACTGAACTCTATCACCGAAGTAGAATTAGTTCTACTGTGGACCTGTAGACGCAGAAATGAACTCTGCAGCATCGGTGTTTTTCCATACATCCCACGGGACGAGCGCTATCGAATTAACTGCACCTTGGAGCACTAGAGGAAGGAAACTTTAGCCAGAACCAAGCTTCTTCACGGCGTTCCTGAAACTGAAGCGTGCGAGAGCATAAAATATAAACCCATGATAAAGAACAATGGTGTTCTATTCTTGACACGCTCTCCTTGGATGACGTGCTAGCGAAAATGGTGTCAAGACTGCCTACGACACCGAACTAAGGGATGTGTCCCGAGAGTATTGAAGGTGGTCCCACAGTTACGACATATGCTAGCACGGCTGTTAAAAAGCTGGTACATCTTTCGTTTCCGGCTGCCATCTGAGCTTCGGCAGAAGACAGCCAGCGGTAAACCGTTTAGAGATGCTGTCATTCAACGAACCAAACGCGACGGGAACTATAAAAGAACTATGCACCACTAGTGCATTTAATAATCCCTTACGTATGTAGAAGATAATATAGGGGACTAAATAAGCAGCCGAAGAATAAGACGTTGAAGTCTTCGTCAAATATCCACCGAAAAAAAACAATTAGTCGCCGGCCACTCAATGGTCAACAAGAGTTCACGTAGGAATTGCACAATCCCTGACACATTGTTCAAATCTGAGAACCTTGAATTTATATACACTAACCCCCAAGGACTCCTCAATAAACTTACCAAACTTCGGGTACGCCAGATCGTGAATGCTTGGGACCTAATTTCCATTACCGAAAATTGGTTACACCAAGGAGTTGCTGATGCTGAGGTTGAGATAACAGTAATCTCGCTGATCCAGAACGACCGCCCCAGCAAATGAGGTGGGGTTCTTCTCTAATACCACAGCGACCTGCTGTGTGCAATGATTGATGGTCTGGAAACTCATGTTACCGAATCACTCTGGTGCCGTTTCTGACAGACACAACGACGCATGTCTCCTAGCTGTCGTTTACTGCCCCTAACATCCACTCTGGAAATGGATTCCCACTTGATGCGTGCGTTGAACAGAGTAACACGCACTAGGTACAGCCACATGCTAATCTCCGGCGACTTCAATATACGCTTTCTGGAGGTGGCGGCAGCACCTAATAAACAGTTCAAAGAAGACTTGCATACACTTACAGCTAACATTCCCTTGTACAACCATGTTACCACGTACACTAGGTTCAGGACAGCAAACAAACCGTCCATATTGGACCTTGTGCTCACGAATGAAGAGCACATGATCTACAAGTCGTTCACGGAGTATCCATTATGTCCCAGCGACCATGTTGTAATAGAGTTTAAGAATGTTTGCTATGCAGCTTGTCCATATGAACACTCGGAATAGACTTATAGAATCACGCACTACCACGTGCTGAAAGAATTTGTCGAAGCATCCACTTGAGAGTTCTCCAACAACAGTCCCCTTGACAAGATTTGGACGGAGTTCGTTGAAAGAATTAGTGACATGGTCAGCTGAGCATCAGAGACCAATCCCCTTAGTTCCGCAAAAGTGCCGTTAATTCTAAGATGCCCGACTAAAACTGCATATTGCTGATGGACGCAGCATGGCGTGCCTACAAGGCAAACCAAGACTCAGAGACTTGGAGCAACTTCCTGATCCATCGCAACCATTGCACTACGCTTGTCCGTGAGGGCAAAGTTACTTATCAACTGCGCCTAGACAAAAAGTTGCTGGCAAACAACAAAGTACTGTATAGGCATGTCGATAGTCATCGAAAAGTAAAGCATGACATCACTGCACTTTCACAACATGCGGTAGGGCACAAAGCACCGAAGAAGCAGCCAATGCCCTGCGGTTATACTACGACCCAATTTTCGAACTCGCAGCCACAACATCACACATAACATCAAGCACAGTACCGACTTAATGGTTTACACATATAATTTTTGACCCAATAATTCTGCTAAGGAAGCTACTCTCACTGCGCAATAATACCTGTCCGGGACCAGACATATCCGCCAAAAAGCACCGATGGCTGCGGCCACCAAGATAGCCGAACCACCGCCACAGTTCCTCCAAAGATGTTTCGATGAATGACAAGCCCTCACTATGTGGAAGCGTGGCATTTTAACCCCAATTTTTAAAGGCGGTAACTGTTCAGATCCTGCAAACTACCACCAAGTGACTCGCCCTGTGCTCACGGAAGTGACGGAGGCGGTAGTCGCTCAGGCTCTAGTGGACTTCCTGGAAAATTGCAACATCTTGACACCAAAGCAGCATGACTTCCGTCAATACCGGTCATACACCACCACCAACCTGTTAATGACACCAGTTAGTTGGAGGGAAGTTTCTGATCATGGGGTCGGAGTTGATGTCATCTATCTGGACTTCTTCAAAGCTTTCGACCGCCTGGATCGCCGCATCCTACTTCGCAGACTACAGAGATACGGAATCGGAGATCCTGTTCTTGGTTGGATTGGCATCTTTCTTCCCCAACGGAAGGTTCAAGTACACGTTAGAGTTTCACTCTCTAACCCGATTGTGTTGGAGTGTGATGTCCCACAGGGCTAGATTCTGGGACCGCGCTTATCCCTTGTGTTTATCAACGAGCTGGCAAAAGTTATCCTATTTGAGGAGATATGGCGAGAGATAAGTAACAATGAAGATCAAGATCTACTCCAAAATGACTTAGATTGTAGTTTGAATCGGCAACGAGGAATCTGTTTCAGCTGAACATAGCTAAGGGAGTTGTGATCCATCTGCGTCACCAGCCGGTGAGCTTTTACAAGTTTGGAGACCACACCTCTCAGGAGCGTGACCTGGGGGTACTGGTACAGGAAAATCCCGGGTGTTCAAAACAAGCAGAGATGGCTTCGAGAAGCGGTAAACAACGTTTCGGTTTTCTTCGCAGAGTGTTGGATCGGTTTAAACCCTTAATCTTTCCTTAAATGCTTAATGCCTATGCGCGACCGCACGTAGTATATGCTATCCAGGCTTGGCAGCCGTGACAGAAACAGCACCTCGTTGATCTCGAAACTCCTCAACGAAGGGTAATCAAGAACGTCAGGGTCTCTTCTCTCTGCCCTATCAGCTTAGAGTGAAATCTCGATGTACAGCAATCGATATTGGCGTTTGCGGGTGATCACATAATAGTATACCAGATTCTGAAGACCCCAAACCCCATTTGCCGCTCGCTGCTGGAATTGAACCACAACACTAACCTAAGAGGCCATCCTCTGAAACTAAAAGTTCAGTATAGCTGGCTTGAATGCCGTAGAAATTTCTTTTCCCTCCGAATGTGTCAGTCGCAGAACGCCCTCTCAAATTATCTTGTTTCTGCCCCCAATCTAGCAATAGTTAAAAAACGAATTTATGATGCTTTGTTTCATTTGCATTCCACCTTACAACTTGTTAGCCAGGGTGCTACGAAACGCAATCAAACGGTGTGTTATTAAACCCTCAGACAATGGATTTATAAATTTATACTTTTGATACGCGAATATCTCCGCTCTTCTACATATCTCAAGGTTGAATCCAACAAAACGTTTTTCAATTTAGCATGAATTTTTATTTCCGCAGTAAATTCCATCTCACGGGACTTGTCAAGCATTGTTCCATTTGATTTCCCCCTGAATTCAGTGAGCCATTTAACCGGGTATCATCAGTTTTGGCAACTACAAAAGCTCAAACTGTTCGACTGGAAAATTACCGACAAATGGCTATAGGAGGATACGTTTTATTGGGCCTCATTCAAACAAGGCAAGCTTTTCGACCATAGTATGTACAAAAGTACCAGGTTGTCTCGTAATCAAGTACCGTGCTTTGTCTACGGACAATGTACGAGAGCCGTTTTGGAAATCATTGGCGATCTAGTTACGTTAGCGACCCAAATGTTAAGTCTCATCAGTTGGTCACAAATAACTTGATAGGCAACTCAATTGTACGTGATTTATTCTCGTTTGCTGCCCCCTCAACTTTCGTCCGTGTCGGTATGATTCCTCTCGGCAAGTGTCCTTTCGGTAGGCTACGGCATTTCTGTTCGTCACATACGTTCAGATCCTAATCCGGCTCTCACCAATATAACTCTCTGTGTTCGATCACACTCGCCTTCTTGCGTAGATAGTCACGTTTGTACGCACTACACATATCGCGTTCGCACTAGTAATTGCTCTACATACTCTATGGTAATATCTGTTTCAAAGCGCATAACAATGAAATACGTTGGACACGAGTTAAAAAGTTTCTCTGAAATGTACCATTGTGTTGTCTGTATAATGCTAAGTGCTGGAACTGGCCGATCGTTTCACAATCGAGAACCCAGCAAGTGGCTCTTCCGTTTCTCACTCCGCAAACTTTCTAGTATTTCTCTGGGACCTGTTTGCTTCCAAGGTAGCTGGGATCTCGAATAAAATGGACTGGGCGATACAAACGTTTCATACTTCGACGGAGCGCACAAAGTGTAGTGTGCACCGTCTCTTCGACTCGTGGGAGTAGTAGCATTTGATTCTAGGACTGCGTTCAACTTGGTTGGATGCAGGTAACTTGTAATCCCAGTGTTGCTCAGCGAAACGTTCCAAGGAACAGAATAAAAACTGGAGCGATGACATGAATCAGTGCATTTTATCTATCCAGGAAAAGAGCTATTTGTGATGCGTCCCTGATGCAAAAGATGGGGAACTATCAGTGTGCTTTATAGACTGTGATTTTTGTCGTCCTGGGGTCTTCACAGTATCACAGTTAACCCATGCCCATTTACATATTATGTATAAAGCTGCGAGGAATACCTGTGCCTCCATTGGTCCAACGGCTTAATTCGATTCACTTCTAACATTTAAAGAGAATCTTATAGTCCTCTCCCGATGGCGAATTTCTTAACCGGGTCTCGCGATGTTAGCTTGCATAAGGAAGCCAAGGTCAGTTGATACCGTACCGCTTGCTATGTGCGGAATATCCCTAATCGTACTATCTATTAATGATGCCCACACCATTATCTGATCATTTCTTAGCTTGGACTTGATCATAGTCCAAGTGGGTTTTGTCAACTACCGTAACGACGTGCGTTAGCTATCTGCCATTATAAACCTCCCGAACAGACTCTTCATGGTAAACGGACTATAGAAATTAAAAATGCAAAAATTAGGCACACTGTTTGACAGTATTAGTGAGCTGGTTGTCATTAGTCTAGTGTCCAGCGTGTTTTTATCATCTGCAGGATCCCCCTAACGTAGAAAATCCGATATGTAAACTCATATTTATTACTTTATTCGCTGTCAGATCGAAAGCATATACATTGGTTAAGGCGACACCATGCTCACCTTCAGCAGGTTTTATTACTGATAGTCGTTGGACACCCAGCGATCGTTTTCTGTCCATATTTGGACCGAAGCATCATTGTCTAGCGATGTGCCAAAACATGAAACTGATGAAGTCAGACGGATACATTTCCATCCAGTATCGATGCCTACGACAATTCAAATCGTAACGTTGAGTAAATTTGTATTGCGTCTATCGCAGGGCTAATCGATCCAAATTCTTAAGTACTAAACTTTACAAAAACTTACACATTTCGTAGGACGCACACACTGGTAGGGAAGCAGTAGTGTTTGACCCGGTTACATGGCGTTGCCAAAAAATGGCTGTTGATGAAGGTATAATCTATGCTTCCACGGTCACCGTCAGGAAATGAATTTTATCGGCCTGCGTCAACTAATTTCACACAGTATATAATGATCCACTTATTGATGCGCATTAGTTTTTTAGTGTAGTTGTAGGAATAACGGAAACACCAACACTATGCAGACACGAGGGCATCACCTCTGAACTCCGACAGGCTGACAATGAATCCATTCTTCACACTTAGTTCTCCTACACAACTGAACTTGTTGGCTCAATTTCCGACAGGGGTATAAGCTAGCATCACGGACAAAGTTTTCAACAGTGGCAGGACTGGTGATCGTACCTGAACTGTTTGTGAGGACAATTTTTCTTTTATGCACAAGGTTACAATTCATTCAAACTGTCAGTTGAGATTGGGCAGTCATGTACCTGTGAGCGAAATTAAGTTTCTTGAAATAGTTTGAACTGGTGAAATCGGTATTTTGGAAGCTGTGGAGTGCCATTTTTTGTCCATTCGTTATAAGTTCAGGGATGTGTCATTGGAGACTGATGTGATATAGATACTATCTCGACAACTCTCGGAAACAATTTACTAAGTCTACAAATGGAAAACTCACCCGTGCGCCGTGATGCCCACCCCTTACGTTGTCAGCACAGTCAGGGTCAAATTCTCTTGATTTTCTCTCATCGTCTTCGTCATTAATCTTGATGGAGATCACTGACTGCATGCTGAGTTCACTAGAGGAGGGTGAAGACAGCTTCTCGGTTCTTCGGAGATTGTCCGGAACATCGTCTATTTCGAGAAACAATGGAACTGTCATTTGGCTGTTCTCAATCTGGTGGCCATGTTTGGCTCAGATTCTACCTATTGTCTTATTTCAGTACTCGGATGTTTATGAAACGCTTCTCGATACTCACCTGAGTAGCTGGATACATATTTTGTGTCTGCCCCGTTTGTGTGCGAAGTGCTACTTTCCTCGCAAGTATCCATGTGCATAGCGTGATACGTAGGAACGGTACGGAGTTGTAACCAGGATCTCTGAAACAAATCCAAGACGGGACAATGTTTACCTACTGAAACTCACTACTACTATCGAGACTGAGACTGACGCTGTGTTTGAAGAGCAAGTAGAATGGTTTCTGTACAACTCTACCGAATTATGAAAAATCAACAACATTTACTTGTGAATCGTCAGCGGTTGTGTCTGGTCAGTTAATCGTTTATTCTTGTTCTGTTGGGAATTTGTATTGGTGTCGTTATTCCCGGGCATACGATGTCTTCTTTTGGTATTGTATGTGCATTGTTTCACAAAAGCACCGGTTTCCAAAATAATCGTCCATACGTGTTTTTAAACTATTCACAGACTCGGCCTCTATTAATCCTTCTGGTAGGGTATTCCAGCAATTTAGGATTCTTCGTTGTATACAAAGCTGATGTGATGCTTTGCTCATGCAGGGGACCCTGATTTTGTAACGGTGTCCTCGGGTGTTACAGGGTTCCCGCAAGTGAAATATGGGCCGCAGTATGGCGAAGTGATTCAATTGTAATACTCGATGGGTCATAATAAGGTCAATTCCTACTCGGCGGTAGGAGAGTGTGTAGAGTCCAAGCCTTTCACAACCTTTTTCATACGGAAGCTTTCGTAGACTCCGTATCATTCTAGTTGCGATCTGTTGTATTTTCTCCAGCTAACAAATACTTCTCTCTGTGGCGTAGCATAAAGCCACTAAAATGGCGATACAGAAGTCATCAAGGTAATAGGTTAAACTTTCGGAGCTAATCTCTACATGGCGAAAAAGTCCAAGTGGGAAGGTAGATTGGCATTATGTCTAACTGTTACAGTGCAAAGCAGAAAAGGTGGTGAATACTGATCAGTAAATTACCGCTTTCCGCTTTGTCAATGAAGTACCAGATTAGGAATCACAAAACTAACCTACATTAACTACATTTTACTACTATACTTGGCCAGCACAGTCCCCAGAGAAAAATACTTTTGGCTCAGCTATACTCGACGGTATTTGCTCACAAATAGCCTATCTATAAATACACTTCTGTACAGACTTATGAAAGTGTACATACACATTTATTGGTTGAAATTATTAGAGTGAGCGAAGGAACGCGGATTCTTGTCGTATTATTGCTGTATCACATGATGGTAGTCTCATTAGTCTCTGGGACAGGCAAGTATGCCGGGTCTATGCGTCGTCGGTGTGAATGCTGAGCTGATAGCTTGCAGATATTTCGTCACCCATCAAGCCGATGTCTTCAATGCATAATATTGGAGACAATACGTCTGTTGGTGAAAAAGTGAATCCTAACAAATTTTGGGGTGGACACTGTCGGCCACTTGGCCACTACTAATATGCATTCGGACATTACAAATCTTATTTCATTCGAGGTGGTTATGGCTTGTTGTATCCGGGATATAGAAATACGAATTAAGCGAACCCTCACAACTTATCACAGGTTATATCTCAGTATCATTGTCAACTGTGGCTTTGCTTTACAAGTTGTACTTTTTACAGCGATCTAGGTTACATTTGCATATTCGTGTCATAAATTCCTTCGTCGCGCTTCTCTATGCTCTCTACGATTTTGGGTTGAAGATCATGTCTAACTTCGGCCATGGGAAAACTTTTCTGGTAGCAGTGAACCACTGGGTGAGAATATACCGACATGTTTCCGACTCACCATACGAACTTCCCTGCTGGAGCAAGCCGCTGAAACGGGATTTTCGGGGGGCCAAAGCGTTTTAGTGTATGGTCTGTGGAAAGCAGCTAAAGGTAGAAGAGAATACAGCATGAACTTAAGTTTGAATGGAAAAGGTGCCACTTACGGTAAGAACATACTTCGTTGCTATATCATAAATCCCATGAACAAGCGATTCGAATTTCACCTCAGCATGTGCTAATACGAACAGCTTTAATTTACTCCACCAATCGACTGGTAATAGTTGGGGTATTTATTGGTACTCGTACATGATGTACAATAAATATCTGCTTTAATGTCACGGTCGATGTTACTGTGAAGAGAATACGAAATGCACGCACCTACCATGTCTTGTCTTCCCACTACGCATACCAACTTGCTATTTTGAAAAGCTTCTGTCATTTCGAATCAAACATTTACACACAACACAACAAGATTAGTCAAAGAAATCCAGGGTTGAATGGACCAGGACAAACCGATTTGGTTTAGGAACTGAGGCGCGTGGGTACGAAAAGGGGGCAAGCTGGTGACAGGTAGCATACACGACGGTGAAGCACGAGTGAGTAGATCAGTTGGGTTGTATGAAACCGACACAATCACAGCAACGGCAGGTGGGAACCAGCTTGAACCTACCGTTACGACAACAGTAAGACGGGAGTCTGCGCAAGAACTCTGTGATTGTATGGACCAAACTGCGTGACGATTACTTCGCTCGTTGTTAAGGATTGTCGTTAAGACCTGTTGGTGCAACTTGGAAAAATTTGCTGGAATCTGTGGTTAAAATTCACGTCAGATTTGTACTCTATGTTCCAAGGTGAAATCTCCGGTTCTTCTCATGGCCTTGAAGCATTGACGATGGAAGTATGCTGCCATCTTTTCAAAAGCACTGGGTCAAATTTTCTTGACAGTTTACACCGTCGATGCTTAAATTTTGACAGAAAATGAGCGATTAAGACTGAAGGGGAGATTTATACTAAAGAGTTGGTTACTGAACAGGATAGCTTCTAAAAGAGCATTGGGCAGTCGACTGAAAAGATTTAAACTGCTGTGATCACGAGTCTACTGTTAACTAACTCGGATACGAAACCACTTTTGGAAATGACTGCGAAAGGAAGAAATTATTTACATGGGCATGCTTATTTTAAACCAGTAACGAGCCGCGAGTGTGGCTACTGAACGGAGCAGGGTAGCCATTTCCTCCTAGTCCCTTAGAAATATAGCGCCGTTTGTTTTCCGGCCTGTGCGCCCTGTTAAAGCTGAAAACGCAAAGAATAAAGTGTCAAAATTGCGGGTTGCGATTCATTGATGCGTAAGTGAGAAGTGTTGCTTTGTGTCTACCTCTATCGCGTTAAGAAAGGCATTTTCCACAATTGGAACACGTTGCTGACTGCTTACCAAAACGTTCAAGGGATCTACCTTGCATCCACTTTCGGTTTCGCTGTCGCAAATCAACAACGGTGCTTTACTGCTGAAATGTTGTAAACGAACGGTAGCAAGCTTCTAATGAACAGCCTACCAATGTATGACTAGGTATCTACTATGTAAATCATATAAGATGATAATTGTGTCGAATTGTTCATTTTAGGTATAACGAAATTCGTGGACCGGGGTTCGACTCCCCGTCGAGGCACATTATTGTGCGTGAATTTTAATCGTGACTTCTACTTTCTACGAAATCTAACGAAATAATTGCCAATAGGCAACAGTCCCGGGGTCTGCCACATACCCACTCAATCAACATAACTACAGTAACTTTTATGAACCTACACTGGTCTGTCAAACATGCACAGTAAGCTTAACTTCCAGTCCATGTATTGAAATGTCGATATCTATGTGCCTTTCAGTTACATATTCGCGCAAGAATATCGCGACCTCTGTTAACGTGGTACTTGTAAACAGAAAACTATCGTGAAAGGAAGCAGAGGTTACCCGTTTAAAGTGTTTTACTAGTTTAGTGTATTCGAATGGGTCTTCCAAATTGGGAGTGTTTACCTTCACACATCGCTTCCAGCTACTATATGATCCGTTTGCGACCTAGTAAAAAACAGCAACAACTAGTCATACGGATGACCCAGTTTAGGCCCAGAAGGAGGGAAGTCCATTAAACTCGATTAGCTGAGCACTCAGCTGTTAAGCTAATGTATCGTGATACTTTATTGAACGCCTGCCTCCTTCTGTGACGTTTTGTATTTCCATGCTGCTTCAAGCAGTCAACAGTTCGTGTTGCGCAAGATGAAGTTCAGCTTCATGTAATTGGAACGCCTAAAGCTTTGGTAGATGGGGCAGAATCCATCCTAGATTCAAGCTCGGCTCCTTGATAAAAAGCCGGATCATTTCGCTCAGAAACTAGGATATTGCAGGTAGAGATGCCCTAGGAAAGTCGGAGGGTTTATTTTGAATATTTGGTGTCTGGGGTTATGCAACTGAGTCTCTGGACTCGCTTTCACTGTCTGACTGTGATAAGGAACATTTTACTTCAAGTGCCAGTTCCCCTATACATAGCCACTTCAGTCGTTGGCTCGTTACATTTTACGCATCTCATTTTGGATGCCATAGAAATTTTAGTTATAGCAAGGTGTTTTGTAAGCACTTTAGTAATCTTCTTCTGGTTTTGCACAAGCTACTGGCACGTACTGGTTAAAGGGCTTATTCTAGACGGTAACTAGCACTTCTGCCGTTGGATTATATTATGAATATAACAGTTCTAGCTCGAGAACGTGTGGCTTGGCAGTTCCACACGAAGTTGTGCGTATGGTGTTTTAATATCTTGTTCTTTGGACGCAACTGGCATTGCGTGCGTAGCCAACGATGAGCTACCCAATGCTCATCGCACTTCAGACTCCATCGTATGGATGCGAATTCTTTCATAACATCCGTACATCTGGGGTTAGAATACAAAAACTTTTGAGACTGGTCGACGCCATCAGCCACTTGATCAGTTTCCAAGCATAAATTATGTAGTAGTAAAATACAATGTTAGGTTGTTGCGGGGGGGTTGCGTTGGTGTTATTTCAAATGGCCCGCTTTATTTAGCTGTTATGACGTTGGATTCCAGTACCCTAAGCAGTATTTTGTGACCAAACAGTCTTTGGCTGGGCTGCAGCTACACTGCTGTGTTACCGTAACCATTTATATAGAAACAAAAGACTGGCAATAACTAGGGAAAAGATGCCTTTTTCGTGGCGTATCATCCCGTGTTTAATCTATGGGTGCATATTGTCACAAGCTGTTTGACGGCTAATTGAGGAATCGCTTCTTCCTGGTTGCTGGATGTAAGGCGTCTGATATCTGGAATCTTCCTCTATCGCACCTGTACACGTTAGCCATCGCTCTCACCTATGCTCAAGAGTCAGGAGCCGCTGTCTCATGAAAACAGGATCAAATATTCGAATGACACAAGGCTCCATATTAATGGACACGAACAATGAATTGAGGCATGAATACACCTTCGCGTACATTCTCTGGTGGGTGAGTCACTGCATGTATGAACGTAGTTGGGACCAGTCTGACGGAGTTCATCGATTCGTCCTTGCGACTGTTGCTGATCCAGTACCACTTATAGGACATAAAACTATGAGATAACTATGTGTTACGATGAAGCTGATGATACTTTATGCGCTCTTTAAGCGCCCGAATTCATCGGAAGTTTCCGTTATGCAGACTGTGCCAGGAACTTTGTTGCTACGAATGAATCTACGCTCTCCAACTATGCAGGCGATAGCCAACAACAGCATCTATTTGTCTCTCTTCCCGGAGTATATTGCAACAGGGGCTTTGGCTAAGTACCTAGTCAAATTCCCAAATATCGAGTCTCTGAACCATTCTAATGTTCAACTGAGGACATTTCGACAGTTTTACAAGTATTACCAAAAGCACGCCGCATAGGCGGTTACGATGTCGATAAGGTGTTACGTTATCGGTTGCTGCCTCTCGGAATGAATGGTCAAAGAGACATGATCAACGGAGCCGTCGTATTGTTCTTTTCCATTCACTTCATAGTTGCTTCTAACCAATGCTGGCTTCTGCTTAGATATCTTACTGACTCCCACTGCCAGCCCACCGACTCCCGCGTCGTGCGTTGTTTGCGCGCCCAGGGTCTGGATGAAAGAGAAGGAGGGGAGACCAAGCGATGACTTGGTCAAGATGAATGGAAATCTTCCCTTTGAAGTTGGTGGCGGTTGGTACATTCCGACTTCCGGGATGGGGCTGCAATGGCGATGAACACGTTTGGTTGGACACACTTGCTGATATGGCGAACGGCCAGCCCAAATGATGTTTATGTTATGAATTGCTTTGTCTAAGCCCTTCTTCAGATTCCTCCTCCAATTCCGATCTCATAATATAATATTTAACTTTAAATTAGTTGATTTTTGAACATTTTGTAGTGTAAATTTTAGTATGGTATCTTACTTGTATGTCGACAAATTAGCTGAGATGGAACTCCCACGTACATTGATGACGATGATGATGGCACCAGTCGCAATGCTCAGCCCAACTATTCGTCATATTGATTATTCCGTATAATCCTATTCCTCCTCGGAAGGTGTGAAAGTTAGAGTGTTGGTGTATGAGCAACTTCCTGAGTCCGACCACCGATAGATACCCATTGTGGAATAACACATTGATCACTGGGGATCTCCGTCACTATTATTGCAATATTGCAGCGCTCATGGATGGACGGGTGGCCAGAAACGGCACGTCAACTAAGGCGAGTACTAGTTGTAGTTTCTACCGAATTCGGAACATAGCTAGAGCTTCAGTCATCTACACACACTCGTGATGTGCGTGCTCCTGGTTCATTTGGATTATTCCGCTCTATCCTCTCTCCATCTTCTCGCAGCGCTTTCAGGATACGCTCATTCGAACCGGATTTACCAGCCCTACACAGTGATCCATCATGGGCGGAATTATCTTCTGTGATTCAAGTCCGTACCATCACTAACCAGTTTCACTGGCATCCGTGATGAAATTCAAGCTGACAACTCAATCACATTGAGCCGACTGCCTTTCTGTGTGACACCATTCGATACAGAATCCTCTAGGCAGTCCGAAAAGCGTAAGCTTATTCCGATGCGGCGTTTCTCAACGCAGCTGTGAAAGAATTTGTGATCTCCCAATTTCTGTTCAGCGCTGAGTTCAGATGCAGTTAGCAGGTTCCAGTCACACGCCATTCCTTGTGAACTTGTCAGCCAGTGCGCCAGCATAACCCATCACATGGACCACGCGACCACGGCGACTGCTCATTTGACATTGCAACCACCACGTTCGCCTGACCGACGTGCGCCACTTTCAAAGCCGGGAAAGTACACACCGCCAACCAACCCAATGGGTCATGTAACGATACCACGTTGAATGGCAGAAATGCAAATCCGAAAAGGCTCCAGGCGAAAGGCATATGCAGGTCAGGTGAAGGTCATCGATTAGTTAAAATAGATCTGGCTTGCTCGCACGGTTTGGAATGGTACCATACGAAATGTGCAAATGTGTCCCAACAACATGTACGACAGCGAAATAGCTCCCTAGATGCACTTTGGTTCTGTACTGCGTGCTTCACCATACCACTCGTTAAGTGCTTGCTTATCCTAGTTCAGAAGTGCGACCGGTTAACCACCGAAGACAAGCAGAGGATAAACGATAAGATTACTTCAATGAAAGCGAGTATGCATTACGGAATCGTAGCAGCTTCTAACCAAAGGAATGCTGCACAATCCGTTTCCCCTGAAGCGCAATCAGTCACATCCCTATCTCCGTTGTCTTCTCCAACTTTGGTAGGACGGCAGGCGAAAACTGGTCGTACCTACGAGAGCCAAACAGTACTCATCGCAACGTAAATGAGGCACCACTCGAAATGTCTGATTAAGCAACTTCCACTAGACCTGACATCTAGCATTAAAAAGGATGAAGCAGCCCAACGCCAACCCTCGGTGCCTATTGCTCAAATGTCTCTTGTTGAGA